TCCCCATCTGGAATGCCCTTCTTCTCCCTACCTGAGTCCTACCCACCCCTTCCGGGCTTACCTCCTCCATGCTGTCTCCCCAGGCTATTGGAGGCCTCAGTGACCTCCCACAGCTCCAAGAGCTCCTAACAGTCATCTTCCTCAGATCATTCTGCTCATGTGACTCTTACGTCCCCAACTAGACTCATGTCAGGCGCCATGGCTGCGTGCCCTTGGCCATCCCCCTTCATCACCTAGCACCCTGTGCAGCCACAGCAAGTGCTTGCTCAGTGCCTGCCGATTGGGACATGGAAATAGTCTTTAAAACCCCAACTGGGTAATACAATAGGCTGTGTGAAAATAAGATACTACCTGAATGAATGATGAAAACAAATTTTGGCAAAACAAGCACAGAGGATTATTCCATCATTCTGCACCTAAAAGAATGAGAGGAAGAGAGAAAACTGAAAGTCCCTGGTGACCTCAGCTTTGGCAGCCCCTAATGGAAAGTGACCCTGCCAGAGCCCTGCTCCCTCCTTCACTCTGGGAACGCTTTCCATTAATGCTATTAACCCAACACAGCAGTCAGGGGCAGAGCAGGCTGGGCCAAACATGCTCCGTTCCAACTGCTGAATCATCTTCATCTCATTTGCCCTTCCAAATACCTTCAAGAATTAGGAGAAGCAAAGGAGGGGGAGAGAAGCACCAAGGACTGTATCAGCTTTAGCAAATCCTTAATAGGAAGTAGTCTGGCTAGTTCCTCCCATCCCTGGGAACTCTTTCCATTAAAAACATTTCTCCACCACAGCCATGTTTTAGACTTCTCGTTGTATCCTGAGCCCAAAGGAAAATTCTCAGCTCTCCACCTCCAACCACATACCATGAGCGATTTCCTTCTAAGGGTGGAAAATCACTCTTTTCAGTGTGCAGCTTGATTCCTTGACATCAGTCAAGAAACCCAGTAGCACTCTGACCTTCCAAAAGCAGACTGGAAGGTCAGAGAAGGCTTTCCATGCTGCTGCCTGGACTCAGCACGTTCAAAAGGTGCACACAGATCCCAGGACTGAAGATGGAAGTAAATACTGAGGAGGATTTGAAAATTAGGCATAACCAAGAAGTAGGCAAATTCAGTCAGTCTTCTCGAGCTGGAAAATTAGAGCCAAGGGAATTCTATTATTAGGAGAAGCTCAGTAACCTCTGCTCCCAAAGCTGGGTCGGGGTGGGTTGCAAAGAAGGCTACACTGCCCTCTATTGGGAACGTATCAACACGCAGCTAAGGGCTTTTCATTCATAATGTTAACTAGTCATTGCACAACCCTTGGAAGCTATTATTATCTGAAAGACAAACAAGAAGCTGAGACCCAGAGACATCAAGTAACTTGCCGAAGTTCATGCAACTAAGGGCACAAGCAAGGGTGCTACGCTAGGGACAAATGACTTCCAAGTTCATTTTCTTGCCATTTATTATGTTTATAATCTTTCCTTCTTGGACTCAGAGAGTTTCATGCTCGGAGAGTTTGCCAGCAATTTTCTCCAGTCTGTGGTTCTCAAAGCTAGCTTCATATTAGAATCACCTAGAGACATGCTTTAACCTGCCAACTGCTCAAGCCCCACTTCCAGAAATTCCGATTTTAATTGATCTGGGCTGGATTCCTGGCTTAAGTCAGTTTTAGAAGTTCTCCAGGTGATGCATATGTAGCCAGGGCTGCGAATTCCTGCTCCAGCTGCAGAAAAGATGAAGGCAGAAACAGGTGGTCCCCTCAAGCCCAGGATGCGTTATTTCATAGAGAACAAGTTTGGTGGGCTTCACTAAAGAAAAATCACTTTTGAAGAATGCAGGCTCACTAGTAGAATGCACAGTTAATGCTTTGTGACATTGTGGTAGGCTGAACAATGCCCCCAAAGAGCTCCACATTCTAATCCCTGGGAATCTATGAATAGGGCACCTTACATGGGAAAAGGGACTTTGCAGATGTGATTAAGTTAAAGATCTTGAAATGGGGAGATTATCCTGAACTATCTGAGTGGCCATTATGTAATCACAAGAGTCCTGTAAGGGAGGCAGGAAAGTCAGAGGAGATGTGATGACAGAAGCAGAGGCTGGAATGGTGTGAGGAACTGATAAAGGATGTGGCAGCCTCTAGAAACTGAGGGAGGTAGAGGAAACATCCGGCCTTAGAGCCTCCAAAAGGAACAGCCCTGCCAACACCTTAACTTTAGTCCAGCAAGGCTGTTTTTGGACTTCTGACCTTCAGATCTATAAGAATAAATAAATTCGCGTTTTTTAAACCATTGGGTTTATGGTCATTGTTACAGTAGCAATAGAAACTAATATAGATATTGTGTAACTTCACTTGTCTGAGGTGTGATTTCCCCATCTCTAAAATGGGATCATCTTACTTAAATAGGGTAGTTGTGAGGACCAAATGCATTAATTATAAATGAAATTCTTGATACAGTGCTGGCAAGTAGTAAGTGCTCAATAATCAGGGCTTCCTGTTATGATCATGGATTGAGGTCTCATGGGGCAGAAAGTAGAATTATGAAAGATGTGAGAAGAGAGAGACTTCTAGTTGTGTCCAGATACATTTCTATAGGTCAAGGGATCGAAATGAATGGAAAGTAAACTAGCAAATCTGGTGCAAAAGAACAGTGGCAGTGGGATTTCTCAGCCAGCTGGCCTTGGGGGAATGATTGCATCTGCCTTTTCTGAACATCTCATCATATTCCAGCACTACTGTGCCTACCTCCTTGGAACTGAGCTCCTTCATTGTAAGAACTCACACTGAGATAGGAATCACCAAGACACCTAAAAGGCCCAGGAATACAGCTTTCCCTGCATTTCATTCACAGTCCAAATAGACTCACAGGTCAATTTCTGAGCTTATAGACAATTTTAGGTTCTTAGACCCTCCCAAGAATAAAGCATTGTTTTCTACATATTCAGTTGCAGCTGAATTATAAATAGCCATGTGCACTCTATGTCATTCACCAGACCTATGATTTGGGGCAAATTACTCTCTGCTCTTCAGCTTCCTCATCTGAAAAGTGGCAAGGATAACACCTACCTGTAGGGGTGTTGTAAGCATTAAATGCTTTATATAAGCAAAGGGCATAGTAAAGTGCCTGGCACTTTCAAGTGCTTAGTAAATTAGCTATCAACATTCCTATTATGGTTGCTTTTATTTTGGGGAAAAAAATAAGGATAAGTGAAGGAAACTACCCACTTCAAAAGTGATAAAACAAGTTCCAGTCCCTCTCCTCCAGAAATGTCCCATCTACTGGCAGAAAGAGACATGGTGGATTCCCATTAAAGACAGCAAGATACATATGACAATTGGGATAGGTAGGGTGTGATGAAGATGTACACAGGAGAGACTAAATCTAAATCAGAGGGAGGGGTATCAGGGAGGGCTTCCTGGAGAAAGTGGCATCTAAGCTGGCTGAGTGGTAGTTTCCCAAATGAAGGGATAGTAATTTGGAGAGTTTTAGAGAGGACCAGCTCAGCTCTTCTGAAGGCTTGAGATCAAGAGCACATAGCATTTTCAGGGAACTGCAAGGAGTCTATGAGCATGATATGTGGGCAAAACTTGGAAGAAGTGGAGAGATGAGAGATTTGTTTGGCGATTTTAGTGCCACTCAGACAACAGAGTGACTTAAGAACCATGGTAAAGAGTTTGGATTTTAGTTTGAGGACAGCAAAGGCAATTTTGTAAAAGATTTGGCCTTCAGAAAGATCACTTGCAGAGGAAGAGTTGAAGAGGGACAAGGTGAAAGTCAAAGACGGGCTGGGAAACTGTTGTAACGATTCTGGTGGAAGGTAGTGGATGATGGGGCCAAGGCGCTGGCAGTGGAGGGGTCAGAGGTGGGTAGCCTTGGAGATGTTAGGGCAATAGAGCTGAAGATTATACGGTGGGGTAAGGGAAAGGGCAAAACATCTGACTTCCAGGTTTCTGACTTTGGTGAATAATGGTACCATTCACAAAGTCAGGGAATACAGGAACCAGTAGTTTGAGTGGCAGTGATGAGCTCACTCTAGACATGTTGATCTGAACATGGTAAAAGCTATGGGACTGCAACTGGTCATATGCAGCTGGCATTTAGACATGAGCCTGGAGTTCAAGAGAGATTTAGGATGAAGGCATAGATTTGAGAATCATTAGCTCATAGGTGGTCTACTTGAAACCATGGAATTGATGAGGCCATCCAGTAGGAGTGAAGAGTGGGAAGAGAAGAGGGTCAGTGATCTAAGGTAGGGTAGAGGAAAGAAAGACAGTCAAAAAGAGATACTGTACTAACCACCCCAGGAGGAGAAGGACCAGGGAAGTGTGGTGTCCTGGAAGTCCAGGAAGTGGGTGCTTCAGAGGAGGAAGTGGTTCCCAGTGCTGAGTGCTTCACTGAGCTCAAAGGAGGCGAGGATATGGACCACCACCAACTCTGGCAGGAGGGGTTTCAGTGGGGTGATAGGGTAAAAGAAAACCTGGTGAAGGTGGGCAGGAAGAAGACATGCAAGTGCAGACAGCAAATGCGGACTCTTGTTTCAACATGAAGACATGACATTCTTTTGTAAGAACTTTGAGGAAAGCAAAGCAATAAGTCAGCAATCAGAGGGAAACAGGAAGTAGAAGTTTTTTCAACATATGAAAACTTGACAATATTGAAATGTTGCTGATGAGGAGGAAGGGGAGAACTGATGGGTTGACAGTACCGTGGATGTCCATTATTATCAGAGTCCATATTTGCAAATTCTCCTACTTGCTAAAATTTACTTGCAACCCCAAAGTGCCTGCAGTGCTTCCATGGTCATTCCTGAATGTGCACATGCTCAGAGCAGTGAAATAATTAGTCTTCCAGGGCACATATTTCCAGCTGAGATGGAACAGGGCACTGCTCTGCCTTCTTGCTTCAGCTCTCATACTGAAAACGAGTGTTCTTTTCACAATATGTGTAGTACCATGTTTTTCACATTTTGTGCTTTTTGTTGGTGGTGTCACTGTTTAAAATTGCCGCAAGCATGGTGCTGTAGTGCTGTCTTGTTCCCAAGTTAAGGAAAGCTGTGATGTTGTGCCTGAGGGAGAAAATGCTTGTGTTAGATAAGCTTCATTCAGGCTTGAGTTACAGGGCTGTTGGTTATGAGTTCAGTGTTAATGAGTCAACAGTATATATTACATAAGGTGTCTTTGAACAGAAGCACACATAAAACTAGATCAGGTACTGATTGGTTGGTGAAAATGCTGTGACCAGAGGCTACCAGGAGCCTGACCCTCCCTTTCCTCTCAGAGTGGTGGCTCAGGATTCATTAATCCAGTGTTCATTGTGACTTTATAGAACAAACTATCGTGAATGATGAGAGTGGACTCTACATCAGTGGACTCATAGGAGAGTCCAAAAGAGGCCTCAGAAATGGACTTGGGTGGCAGGCTTTTGGATTATGGAATGGTCACCTAGAGGCCCCGAGCTTGCTGTCCATTAAGTCTTCCAGACCCAAATATTCCTTTCAAATAAAATCACAGGGGGATAGTGGTCAACTGGGCTTTGCTCAGAACTAGCACCCTGGCATATGAAGAGTGGGAGGATGGTTGGTGGGAAGGAAGTGATATCAGTAAAGGGACACTGAAACTAAGATGTGTGGAGAGAGACAGAAGGTCTCATTTTGTTGTGCTCTCTCTACATTGTGTAATTTATGAAGTTAAAGGGTGTTCTTTTCTGAGGATTTCCCAGGGTAACTCAGATTTTATATTCCTGCGTCTTCTGGTGGCACTAAACTTTGTTTTGACCCCTATTATAAAATAGTAGAATTTAATCTTTACTTTGTCTATACTTGGATTAAGGAGGAAGTTAATTCCAGGCAGCTGAGACTTGGTATTACACAGTAATTTATAAAATCATCTCAGCAGTTGAAAGCATTGGAAAACACTATAAAAACATTGCAACCAGAAAGCAAAACAAAAAACTTTGTAACCAATTGTACATCCTATGAGAACACTAAGAACCTTTCCCTACCCACCTCCCTCATCCTGTATTAGAAAAGCAAGACTTCTCTATTCCCAAAGTGAGTTCAAAATAAAGGGAAAACTACTTCCTTTTAAGTGGTATTGCGCTGATACAGGATGTCAGACAGGAGAAAAACAAGTTCTCTGTTATTGACCATGCTTGGTAGGCTAGATGGCGTTACAGAGAACCTCTGATAGTAGGGGATACTGACATCTGGTATAGTTCATTGTCAGGTGACAAAAGATGGAAATACAGAAAGTATAGGAAACCACATTTACCTGACCCCACTGATGTGTGATTTATGATTATTCAGAGAGAATAGACCAAAGCTCACTTTTGTTCTAGCTGAATAAAAGCTTCCCTTAGCAGACTGACAAGGCAAACAAGTTCAATTTATTTAACAAATTGTACCCTTTTGGGGCAGATGGTAAATTTAACATATTGGTGACACTAAAGAACTTTTTGATCATTTTTTAATTAGTAGATTTAATTTTTTTAGAACAGTTTTAGACTTACAGAAAAACTGAGCAGAAAATAATGAGCTCCCATATACTCCTTCCTCCCCCTTCACATACGATTTCTCTGTGATTAGCATCTTGCATTTCCAAATATGTGTATTTGTTAAAATTGATGAACTAATATTGATACATCTGGTCTATAGCTTATATTAAGATTTACTCTTTGTGTACAGAATATACTTTTAATATGTCTTAGACGCACAGGAGTCATAATAAGCTAACCATTTACAGAGGCATCTCCAGGTCACAGTGCACTGCACAACGCAAAATGCATACCTTATTAACTCATCATAATGGTCTTGAAAGATAGGCTGAGAGTCTTACTTAAAGAAAAGGAGCTGAGGTTCAGAGAGGCAAGTGGTCTGCCAAAGTTCACATAGCTGTTAAATGGGAGAGACAAGATAAGAACCCATGTTTTCTTGTTTCTTTGCAGTTATGCTAATGCTAATTTTTAAGATGCCATTCTTAGCCAGCAGTTTGTCCATCAGTTATTTTTTTAATTTAATTCAGTAACTAAAATGTGTAAAATTTGAAAGATTCCACATTAATATTCTGGCTTCCTTTGAAGACTCTGAAGATTTAGCACACTAAGGCCACACTGCAGTTTGGCAACAAATATCAGAGCTGAGCAACGAGTGCCTCCTTGTAAGGGCCTGGGAGCCCTCCAGTTTGCCACAGTCCTCACCACTCCCAATTTTATTATACCCAGTCTGATTCATAAGTGTTACTGTCTGGTTCCTAAAGGCATTGAATTAGGTAATTCCTGTTTTAAAGGGATATTACATAGCACATAGTTGGTCTCCCAAGGTGCAGCTATCAAATTTATTGTATTCACAAATAATTCCAAAGAAGAAAATCTATAATATTCTTTGGTAATCCATTGGAACATTAAAACCACTGTCTTCCAGCCAGGAAACTTTCCCCACCATTAATAAATCAATAAGAATAATTCAATTTTAGAACGACATGGCCTCTTACAGTTCATCTGGTCCAACCCCCTTGTACACCAGATGAGAAAACTAAAGTACTAGATGGTGAAGATGCTTGCTTGAAGCCCAACAGTCCAGCAGAACTTGAACCAGGAGACAGAACTAGACTCCCAGTGGAAGCTTTCCAGGGACCCATTTCCTTTTCTCTCCAGGGTAGGCTTAGAAAACAGCTGCTTACTTTCCTTTGTGAAAAGCACATTAAGTTTGGACTAAAGGACAAGAAGTGTTTTTTTTTTCTCTCTTCTTTTAGGATTTAGATTCTCAGCTTATTTCCCTAACGTTAGTTGCCATGAAGATTCTCTTATGAACCCTGTGTTTATTTCCTAGGGCTACCATAACCGAGTGCCACAAAACAGGTGGCTTAAAACAACAGAAATCTATTCTCTCACGGTTCTAGGGACTAGAATTATGAAATCAAGATGTCAGCAGGGCTGTGCTCTCTTTGAAATCTCTCAGGGAGGATCCTTCCTTGCCTCTTGCTAGCTTCTGGTGGCCCCTGGAAAACCTTGCATTCCTTTGTTGTCAGGAAATTGCATCTGGGGAGGTCTCTCCCTGCACACTAGGTGAAACCTCACCCTGGACAGGGAAGGGTTCTTGACTCTGATTGGAAAAGAATTCTCCAACAGGTCGGGGTCAAGTGTAGGTAAGGAAGGAATTCATAAAAGCAAGGGTAGCAGTGAATGGCAACTGCTGTGCAGACAGGCAGCAGAAAGAAAGGAAGAACAGAGGGGGGAAAGGGGAGCTCATGGACCTCCTGCTCAGCATAGAGCAAATCCCTTCTCAACTCCTGAAGCCAGGGTCACCTGGCGTCCAGTGTCCACTTGAATCTGCGTGGCATGATAACTAAGCCCCTACGGCCCCAGGATCTGGGGTTGCTGCAGAGTGCTGGATGGAGTGAGATTATGTTCTGAGAACTTCCCAAAGCAAAAGAAGGAGATTTTCAGGCAGGCTACCGAGGAGCATGATCATACAGCCGCCGACAGGGACTTGCAAGCCCAAATCAGAGATCTCAGTAGCTCTTCCCTACTTGTCTGAAGTGGAGACTTGTGCTTAAGTCTAGAAAATTGAATGAAATAGCAAAGTAACAAAGACACTTACCATTGGAAGAGCACAGAGACAAAACGCATTAAGTTGAGCAACAAGAAATCTTTATAAGACAAAGTACACACTTGAAGAAAGGGGGTGAGGCAACCTCAGAGAGAAGGTGCACTTAAGGGCATAGGATTCTATCTTTTAAGGCTTTCAATAATGGGGTAAAAGGTTGGGGGCAGGGGTGATGTAGGCTTGACCTGTGGTCTCATGATGTCTATTTCTGGTGAGAGACATTATGTCACCATCCACAGTCTGTCCTCTAATAATCTGTAAGATAAACTTAACACAAAGAATTTCTTTATCTAGTTCTTCTCCAAGATAGTGGTTACCCTCAAGCAGTGGAGATGTATCATTTAGGACTGCTTGCCCTGCCTTAAGATAGGGTAGGTCATTGGCTGATTACCATAAAATATGTTAGGAATCTTACCTCCTAACTCCCTGGTTTTAAAATGGAATCTTAACTTTAAGATGGAGTCCCTCTTGTTCTCACTATACTATTTATATCTTGGCATTTTTTTCATCATAGGCAAGAAAAGTTAATCATGATGCTCATCCCATGTCCCTGCCCTGCCTCACCTTGGTTTATAGTGGCATTCCTCCAGTCTCTGTCTCTGTCTTCATAGCCTTCTGCCCTGTGTCTGTCTATCTCCTTCTCCTCTCTCTTATAAAGGCATCAGTCATTGAATTCAGGGCCCACCCTAATTTTGTATCATCTCATTTTAACTTAATTACATCTGCAAAGACCTTATTTCCAAATAACATCACATGCTGAGGTTCTAGATGGACATGAATTGGTTGAGGAGGGTAGGGGGAGAAAACACTATTCAAGCCACTACAAAATTTCCTAAAATTGTAGGCTAATTCACTGGGGCGGATTATCTCATGGCTCCTATTCTACCACCATTTCTAAGGCTCTCATGATATTGACTTTTTTTAAATCAAATGTACATGACAGCACCCCTATGTTTATTGCAGCACTATTTACAATAGCCAAGAAATGGAAGTAACCTAAGTGTCCAACCTAAGTGGGGACCCAGTTTATTTTTCTAATTTTACCAAAGTGTTGCTTTTCTTCCTCCAGCCCTAAACAAATGATTTGTTGCAACTTGGGCAATGTAGCAAGCAAGCCCAAAACAACATAGTAAAAACAGGAAGGACTCCATCTTAAAACCCAATTCGTTAAAAAAAGTTTCTTAACTAACAGACAATAACTCAGCCCTCCTTGGGAACAAAGCGGGAAGTCTTGAGTGATATGCTCCCAGACCAGGAAGCTGCTATCCCGGGAGGAAATCAGAGCAGTAAAATTCTTGTAAATAACCAGGAAGACTAATAAGAAACTTAGTGTTTCTTCAAAGGTATTTGGGGCCATTTAGCAGGTGTGCATCCCGAGCCCTTTGTCTCTCAACTGCCTATAAAACCCCCAGACAACGCACCACCCTTGGCTCTCTTGTCCCCTCCTGGCCTGAGCCAGGCGC